GTTCAATTGTGTCCAATTCTCGGAGACTGCCTGGAGTAGGCCCTGCAGTTTTCTTGGCAAGGTTTTTTCAGAAGTGGTTTGCCATTGCCTCCTTCCTAGGACTAAGAGAAAGTGACTGGCCCAAGGTCACCCAGCTGGTTTTGTGCTTAGGCGGGACAAGAACTCATGGTCTCCCGGTTTCTAGCCTGATGCCTTAACCACTACACCAAACTGGCTCACTCTCAGATATATACCTCCCAGTACGTTACATTCTAGGAAGTAGCTGCTACTGCAGTATTTAAATAAATCGTTTTCAGCAGTGGTTTTCATCCATCTGAAATGTATTAAATCTAGATCCTGAGTTAATTTAGAAGGATTTCTCCCAGCCAGTGGCTTTGTTTGTCAAGCTTTCTTGTCCAGAATTCAGCCATAAGTCAGCCTGACTTTACATGGATTTACTTGGCTCCTCCCTTGGCAGAAGCCCTACAGACTGGATAAGAATCTTTACTGCAACCAAAAAGGAGCCACATGAAATGTTTGCCCATCGCCACGGTAAAGGTGCTATTGCCCTCTTCTACCCCATGGAGGTTTCCACCCATTACATTTTCTTACCTGACCTTCCCATGAATTAATGGGCACTTTGCTCAGTACTTGATGGCCCTCAAGCTGAGCAGTTGTTGAATGCTTCTCTAATTACCATCTCTGCCTGGGAACTACTCTTGCCTTAATTCTCACATCATCTTCTTACCCTCTATGGTAATTTCATGTTACTACGTGTATGTCCTCACTGCTGCTTCCTGAGACTGGGAGAATGAGGAAGGGAAATGATAGAAAGGGCATCTAATTGGCCAATGGGGCAGTGCAAAATCTATGGTCCAGCCCCTTTCTCATAATATCCTCTCTCTGTTTCCTTCTGCAGTGAGGACAAAGAAAAGAACTTGGAGACTATGCTAGGAAGAGGGCAAAGGAATGATAGGATGGTGATAAGACATTAGAGTGCTTTGGCTACAGGAGCCAAGAGGCAGGCAAGAACCACTGATGGTTATCCCCCAGCATTGCAAAACTGTTTTCTCATTATTTCTTCTAGACCATTTTCCCATTGTAGTTATCATGACATTAGTTTTTTGCTATCTTTTTTTAATTGATTTTAATGCCAGTTCTCCAATCTCTCTGAATTGCAAAACACACTATAAATTAATACCTGTCTGCAGTCCCAAGCAAGGTTGTCAGCTGTTGCAGATTGCCAATTACCATCTTTCTCACTGGTGATTTCCAGTAGAAGCTGTAAAGTCATCAATAGTTCATAACCCATTTCCCTTTCAGAACTGTTTTTAAGTAATATGATAGTATATATGCATATTAGTATAGTATATTTTACAGTGGGAAATATTAATTTCTATTTTCAGAGAACGTATGCATGTAAAGCATATTTTCAAATAAATAACTAATGGAATTCAACCTCCCCCTAAAACATGTTGAGGAAAAGTATTCATCTCTTTAAACATCACTCACTGCTTTTCAATGATTAATAGTGAATATCCATGGATTTTGAGGAAGGGAAAGTTGTTGTTGTTTTTCACCTCTCTCAGTTGGAATATGAAGCCACTGAATATATATTTCACATCTATATTTGGTAGGGTAATACTGCAGGGAACAAGTTTTGTTGTAGGAGAAACATTGGATGCAGAGGCCTCCTTGGAATATATTGGTACATTAGGTTGTTTAAGTTGAACTCCACTTGTATCACGTCTATGTAAAAACACCGAGGAACAGATCCTGATTATGTAACAGCTGGTTTTGTGTGGTGGGTTTCTTTCTCCAGACAAGCCTGGTCCTCCTCAGAATGTTAAGATTGTGGACGTGTGGGGGTTCAATGTTGCACTGGAATGGACGCCTCCCCAGGATGACGGCAATTCTCAAATCACAGGGTACATGGTCCAGAAGGCAGACAAAAAAACAATGGTAAGAATCATAGGCTGGGTGAGGGTACATCCATCCTAGGACTATGTATAGTCAATTCATACTTCCTGTAATGGTATGTGGGAGTGACCTTGGGAGACAGGAGGGAGAGCTAAAGATTAGACAACCAGCATGTAAAAGGTACCTCAGCCCATAGAAGGAGGGACGGCATGGGAAACGTTTCAGAAGGGGCCTTCCTAGTTCTCTGGAGAGTAAAAGGAAAGGAGGGGAGAAATACTCTCAGTCTTGGAAGATTCTGTTAATGTAACCTTACAATAAAGGTGGAGCTAGTACTCCTAGTTGTGCTTCTTGTTGGGACTACCTCACAGGGCTAACACTTCCTACAAGCGTGATCAATTAAGGTAGGATAATAAATTTGTCATCATTTCCACAATTAGAATGTGGTTTGTTTGGGGATTTCAAAAAAGTATATGGTCAGTATTTATATGAAAACGACTTCTCCCTATATTAAATCCTTTAGACTAATGATATATAAGTAGAATATAAGCCACCCCCCTCCTTTTTATGATCATCTGTGGCTATGCTAGAATTCTGAGAAACAGAGCAATTATAATTGCTAGGATCACAATTGTTGCGTTTCCAAACATAGTTGCTACAAGAATTCTGGTTCACCTGCCAACTACTCTAATGGAGCACTTGGCTAGATTTCTCCACCTCTGTGGGTTAATCCAGTGTTTTTCAACCTTGGCAACTTTAAGATGTGTGGACTAACTCCCAGAATTCCCCAGCTAGCCATGCTGACTGGGAAATTCTGCAAGTTGAAGTCCCTTAAAATTGCCAAGGTTGAGAAACACTGGGTTAATCATTAGGCTAAAGGAAGTGTTGTCCTGGACTAGCTTCTCAGGGCAACTTATTCTATGAAAAGAAGCCTGCTTCCATCTTTCAGTGTTTATGGCCAAGAAAATCCCAGCTCTAACTTACTATTTGTTAGTTTTTTAATCATGGAGAATGCCAGAAATGATTTGACCTCCTGGTTCATTTTTATCCATAGTTTGGTATATCTCCCTAAAACAGTGTTTGCTGCCAGTAGAAAACTCGTTGAGAAACCCAGCCTATCTCTGATTAGGCCATAGCATATTCTGTCTTAAACAGCAAAAGTTCACTATTTTTTAACACAGGTCTTTTAGTTCATAAGCATCCGCTGAAAATCAATTAGGATTTTTAAAATATATATATATATATAATCATAATTCATATTATGTTTAGATTGCATAATAGCTAAGGGTTACATTAATCTTGCACAGTAAAGTAGTCTGCTATTATTGCAAGGAGGAAAAGTGTAACCCAGTGTTGTTATTTGCTTAGCTACACAGCAAGCAGGAAAAGGAAAGAAGCAGGGAGAAGAGAAAATTTGTGTTGATTACAACTTCATTCATACAGTTTTACAGAAATTGCATCTGTTTTGTTGAATCCACTTGGATTTTTTCTTTTTACAACATCTTTGTACTCCAAATACTTACCTAGGCATAAACATCATTTCACTCAGTAGTACTTGTGGGTGAGTAAGGATCAATAGTTCTTTAGTTTCCTGCAGAAGACAGAGGAGCACAAATGGAGCAAATAAGAAGCAAGGGGATGTCTTTTTCACAGGTTTTCAAATGTTGATTTTTAAAATTGAGTTTAAGGATAGATGGCAGTGTTTACTAATCTCCAAAAACCCTTTAAAAAGACTGAGTATAAGGTGCATTGTTCGACTGTACACATATCAGTTTGTGCAGAGATCCCTCCTCGCCTTCTGCAATGCATAGCTGTCCATTGTATATGCTAGGAAGGATCACTGTTAATAATATGCCATAAGGCAATTGTATATTCCTAGGTATGCTCTATCCACTTACATAGCCTATATTTTCCTCTGAAGCAAAAGGACTCCCCATATGTAGCACGTAGGTTAAGTGGATTGATCAGATCTGACTCAGGTTTGTCCAAGACGGAATGGGAACATTGGCTGATTTCCTTCAGGTGGCAAATAGTCTTTGGCTAGCTAGGCTTGCCTCTGTGTGTGGGTACACATACATACACTACCCTCTTAAACTCTATCTGAAGAAATGAATAGGCCTGTATCTTTTGATTGTGAGAGAATTTCTGTGTGTTTTTGGTACCAGCATGATGTACTGTATTCTGTTGAAGGTGAAGTGATTATATTTATATTCACAAGAGGGCATTTATATTTGCCCTCTTACTGCACATAATCCAGCTTCCTTGTGTGTGTATATGTGCATTGTCTAGACAGACACTGTAGCTGGCTAGCCACAGGGCCCATTATGGCTTCATCCAGTTCTGCTGTCTATCGTCATGTTTGTGTCAAATACCAGTTTTTAAGATGATGTTATCATTTTAAGGTTCAGCAGACTGTTTTTGGTTTTCCAGGAATGGTATACTGTTTTTGATCACTATCGGCGCACTAACTGTGTAGTATCTGAGCTGATCATGGGAAATGAATACTATTTCAGGATTTTCAGTGAAAACTTGTGCGGGCTGAGTGAAAATGCTACCACCACCAAAAACTCTGCCTACATTAATAAGACAGGTAACAAAGAGAAATTATACAGGCACTTTCCAACATTCTCATTAAAAATGATCTTTGTTAATGTTGAAGTCAAAGTAAGTTGTCAGGTATTCTATGAGATGTTCACAGAATCTTTGCTATTCAAGCCAATTAATTTTGGAAATAGATAGCATGTTCCACTATTTAGTATTCGACATATTGATAGATGACATATAGTGGCTTGTCCAAGAATTTCCACACCAGCATCTATCAAGGAGTCTCTGCCATCTGCCACTGAAATCCTGTTTGGAGCATCTCTAGGACAGAGTCAGTTCAAATGGACTGCAGAAGAACATACATAATAGCAAGCAATCTGCTCTTTTTGCTAAATCTTCTCCCCCACAAAGCTCCCCAAATAGATTTAAAAACAGCACTGTGCAAAATTTGACAATATTTAATAGCTAAAGTCCCATGACAGTTAACATTTGATAGCTGATGTGCAAAGAATCTTTTAAACTTAAAGCATCTGATAGGTAACATCCAATGATAATTTGCTTTCCCTAATTGAAGCCATGCCAGTCAGATTCAAAGCACTGTAAATGTGAACAAGGTTCACCTCTTTGTAGATCTTGTATGTATAAGGCACATATGTGCATAGGTATATTTGTTCCCACTATTTGAGCATATGTTAGACTCAAAGTCAAGTTTGAACAAGAAACCAGACTATGGAGTGGTTCAAGTCCCCAAATGACTTTGTCTTTTGTAACATGCAAACGGGCATCCTTCATCTATTGAAGGAAAAGAAAAGCAGCAGAAAGCATCAAAGGACACCTAGGACACAGAAAGGGAGAGTGTGCTATTCTAGGCAGATATAGGGAAGGAGAAAAGGAGGAGTGGGGTAATATTGGAGTGGAGAGAAAGAAGGGAAAGAGCAAAGAGTCTCTTCTAATGCAAGGGAAAGGAGACCCGAAATGAGAAGGAACAAGACAAAGTAATACATTAGATCTGGAAGTTGGCATTCATCCCAGGCTTCTCTCCTACCATGAAATTCCTTAGCCCCTTGACCAGTTCTAGATAATGACAATTGGAGAGTTTCACTAGTATGATAAGAGGGTAAAAAACACAAGAGATTGCTTGCTTGCATAAAATGGACCACATCTTTCAGAGATCGTCTTGTGTATTTCTGAAGCCAATCAGCATTACTGTTATCCTGTTTTAAAATAGTTCAGCTGGACATTTTGAATGAATATTTTAAAATATGAGCATGATTGAACCAGGACATTTCCTGTTTGGTTTCCCCTCACCCTACCTCTTGTTCATGCTGCAGGAGCAGTTTACAAACCACCTAACTACAAAGAGCACGACTTCTCTGAAGCACCAAAATTCACCCATCCACTTTCAGATCGCTCGGTAGTTTCTGGGTACAATGCAACACTCAGCTGTGCTGTCAGAGGAAGCCCAAAGGTACATCCTACCCGTGGATTCTTAATATACATAACCGTGGTGGGAAAATTACCGCTAATATGGTCAGGTGCATAGGGCATCATCAAATCTAAATCAATATATTTAGATTTAGAAGCAATAGAAAATACTGACGAGAATTCCAGCTTGTAAGTTAGTCCTAGAAATAGGGCAAGGACAGTACTGTCTCGAAGCATAAATATTTCAGCATTTCAGGATAAGAACCCAGGTGAGGAATTGTATAATATAGGATGATTAGAAACTCTGAGAGGCTTGAGTCAAGATGAGAAGGTCACCTCTGAAATAGGAAGAGAAATTAAAAAAAAAAATGGGGGAAGGCAGAAAACCATAAAACGGCATTATGATATCACATCTGGGTGGATATGACAATAAAGAAGTCCAAGTCACCTGCAAAATCAATGAAATCCTCATAGAAGGGAGAAGATTTGGTAAGAATGTCTTCCTTGTTTCTTATACAGCATGCTAATCTTGCCAGTGCATCGAGGAATGCATATGGGCCATCCTTTAGGGAATTTCCCAAAGTTTGCTTCTCCTCATCTTTAGTAGATACAGATGTTTAAAAGTTTCAAGGACTTAACGTGTGTGAAATACTTCTTGAGGCAAACATGTTTGGGTTAAAAATGCATTTCAACCTGCTTGAATTTCTAAAGCAATCTCCAAGGTAGCAAAATAGATGCCCTTTCCTCTTCAGAATGACCTGCTTCTGCTTCAAGCTTATTGTGTTGGTTTTCATAAACACAGCCCAAAATCTTCTGGTTCAAAAACAACATGGACCTTTCCAGAGATGCCAAGTACCGCATGTTCAGTAAGCATGGAGTGTTGACTTTGGAAATCCGCAAGCCCAGCCCATTTGATGGAGGCATTTATACCTGCAAGGCTGTGAATGAATGTGGTGAAGCAGAAATAGAATGTCGACTGGATGTTAGAGGTACTAAAGAGGACTTTTTAGATCTATTACTTCCTAAAAGATAAGGCGTTGGCTTTGTACCTTTTAAAAAGGGTTAACTGCACAGTTTCAGTCTCCTCTGTTACTTCCATGTTCCTTCTAATGACCATATATACTCACAATGAATGATGTTTGGTTAATTAGGCAGTAGACTAAAATACTATGGAAGTGTATTACTCATTGCAGACCTTTGCTTGCAAAGCTTTATTTAGCAATGGTCCATATGGGTTTCCTATGCCAATTCCAATCCAGCGAGAAATGAATTTTAAGGCAAGGAAACAGACACACACTTTATGGCTGCCCTGTCTTTCCATGTTCCAATATGCATTCCATACACTTTCTTCCATAATTTGCAGATGAGGAACAACATCATAAACTCTGCCACTTATGTTACTGTATATTATGTTATATTACATTAGCTAGTTAATCTCATACGGTGGCATCCTGTAGTGTCCTACTTGTATAGCAACATTTTTTATTACAGGCACAATGACACCTCATACAGATTTGCAGTAACAGAACTGCTGCTGACTTCACATTGCTGTATCCCATTTCTGTGCAGGGAAACTGATTAAAGGGTTAAGGCATCAGGGCAGAACAGATCAGGAGCATGCCAAGCACGCGAGTCCTTGACCACAAGCATAGCATGTGACTGCGGCAGAGTAAGGGCAGCAAACCAACCTATCTTCAAAACACCAAACAAAAATTATCCTAGAAATACAAATGCAACAGCAAGTGGGAAATCATTATTCTCAGCATATTAACATAAATAGACAAGATTTACTGTTAGCATACATGAACACGTGTACTGATGTTTCTCACCGCTCTTTCTTACTTATTTTGTTATCTACAGCACCACAGTAAAATTCTAAGCAACTGGCTGTCAGCAAGTCCAGGTATGGAGCCAAGTTGTTTTGTCAAATAAAAACAAAAATGGAAATTTGGGGAAAATCAGAAGAGGCAAGCAACATAAAGGAAAACCCAAGAGAGGCCTGTCAGCCCCTCAAAGCTCTAATTATGTAGCTTCTGGATGCCAGAAATGCCACTCATCACTCCCGCTCCCAAGGAAATTGCAGAATGAACTCATTGCTTAATTCATTTCCTGATGCGGTTTCAGTCTCTTGTGCTGCTTTGCTCCCAATTTTTAAGACTGTTATTCTTGATAAGAGCTTCCACACGCTCCCAGTTATATACATGGCAACTAGCAACTTTGTAACTGTTACTGATGGTTTTGCAACGATAGACCCTGTTTGACCACAAGCAAGGTACGTGAGATCTATAGACAGGAAATCTACAGCAAATGCAGTCAAGTTAAAAAAAAAAAACAGCAATACCAACAACAACAACAACTTGGGAATGAGACCAATTGCAATATTATATTGTGATTTAGTGCATATGCTCAGGCCTCACATGCAAATAATTAGAGTGTAATTTTTCAAACTCCTGTTTTTTATTGTGTGGCACTTATGGCAGATAACTGCTCTACATTCATTAACAGGCTATGCAAAGGCTTTGCTGTGCATGGGAGTGTCTACAAAACATACATTTTTCAAATCATTAGAGCACTTCTGCCATCTGCAACCTTGCTCGATGGCTTTGGAAGCAGCTAGGAAAGCCTCGCAAAGGATGTGGCTGTTCTAAGAATTCAGTCAGAGGTGCTCCACATTCCTTGTGAAGCGCCTCTTTTGATGACCTTACGCACCCCTCCAAGAACCAGTTTTCTCCCTGTCTTTAAAAACTGATATCTAAGAGTTGGGAGAAAAAAAAAATTGAATTGCAAAGTAAGATCAGGGCAATTCTACAAGACAATGTTTCACCTGCTGAGTCTAAATTTTTTGACAAACACCCCTAATCTAGACTATTTACATTTGACTTTTGCCAGCGTAGGTTTCACTTTTTAACCAAATGAATGGGGTTTTTTTTCTCTGAGTGTAGAGTTTGAATTCAGCAATAGCAGCTTTTTGCATTATGGCTGAACTGCAGAGACACATTCCTTTAGGAAAACCACTTGTTCAATAACAAACAATGAGAGATAATAGAAACGTAAGATACTGCAGTGCAAATATTTAAATTTAAAAATTAGAGAGTTCTAAATCCTACTAGGTTAACTTGAATAGAGTAGATTTTTATAGAAAGGAAAGCTGTATGGGAACGCTGGGGCTATTATCAGACATGGCCATCAATACTTTTAGGAAGTAAATTAAGACACTACCCCACTTCTTGGATCAGCGAACATCACTGGGCACTTTTTATCGTGCCCCAACTTCCTCCTGCTGCCACAGCAAATGGTTTGCTCAAAACTTTGCCCTCATGTGAGGAGACAGGAAAGACCTGACATAATGGAAAGTACCTGGAGATTTTGGGTTCAAGCGCTCCTTACGAGGATCTGAAGCCACCCCTGGTATTGCGCTAAGCCCATAATCAGATACCTACTAGTCTGGAAGAAAGCCTCAATGATCTCAGGTTTAGTTATGAATAAACATGTAGGGAAACGTGCTGTTAAGGAATCAGTCCTTAGTCTTCCATTCATAACTGCAGTTTGAAAGCTTCTGGTTTATAGTGCCATGCATACTAAAGTGTAACATTGTCTTGCAGCTGTTATTCCATTTTCCAAAGTCAATTCAAAAGTTATTTTGCAATAGCATCAGAAACTGCTCCGTTCCCTGTTTTAACACACATACAGAATGTATTCCCTGCATATTTAGAAAGTAATATAAAGCATGTATAAAAGCTAATATACAAATATAAAACATCAAAAATGTTTGTTCCATTTTCCAAACACAACTCCGTATCCTTATTAATGAAAATGTATTGCTTCAGCATAAGGAAATAAATAAACTAGTAGTTTCTGCTTTCAAATGTGCTTTTCCATTCCTTCCAGACTAGAGTTATTTTCCTAGGCTATGTTTGTGGTTTCTTGATGTATAAGCACAAAAGAGGGCTACTTCAAACCCATAGTCCAAAGAAGGAATATGTGGTACCAAATCCCTACTTGAAATTATGTTAATAAAGGTGTGCAAATTTTGTTTTGCTTCCAAGGGCTACATGAAACAATAGCTCAGGGTTTAGATGCCTATTATGGGTCTGTTGAAGATTATTACTTCTTGGCTGGCACTATGTACAACCTCAACTGGTGTCTATCCCAGACCGCTGCCCACCCCTACCCCCTTCATCCTTCATCTTTGCTCACTACTTTCAGATACACATAAATCAAGAGAAGAGTTTCACTGGCACAACACAGGGAAAATAAACCAAAATATGATGGGTATGCCCCATGATGCAAGTCTTGATTCAGCAGAATTAGTAAAATATGTAATAGCAATATGATGCTTTGTTATTAGGTGGGAAAGCCTACTACAAGTGATAGTTTCATTGTAAGTGTGCCAGATGCATAACAGAAAAGTACAGCAAACCCATGCTCATTAGGAAACATTCAGCATTTTTCAAGACTATATACAGTAAGTATGCATGTGTGTGTGTGTGTGTAGTGTGTGTGCGTGTGTAAAATAAGTTGTGTTGTGTAATGTAAAGAAGTTCCAAATATTTGTCTTTTTTTTCTCTCTTTTCCTCAAGCTGGTGTAACTGATGTCTACCCAAAAGTAGGTATACAGTATAGGAAACTACACTTGATAGGGTGTAAAAGCTTAATAGGGCATGTTGTGGTGGCTACAGCAGAGGATTCAGTCAGAGGTTTTGCAGCTCAGCTCAGCTCAGCTCAGCTCAGCTCAGCTCAGCTCAGCTCAGCTCAGCTCAGCTCCTTCTGTTCCCATTTTAGCTCAGTTTATACATATGGAAGAAAGAATCCTTAGTTTAAACTTCCTTACACAGTCACTTTTAGTCTGGCTGTATAGAAAAGTTGCTAAACGAAGTGGACCAGATATTTAGAAAACAAAACGATATAAGTATACTAACATAATGGATCAAAAATGCTCTTTAATAACATCAACTGACACATTAGAGTCTTAAAAACAATTTAGAGGAAAACAATCTTTCAGATCAAGTTGCATTATTTCTTTGCATTCAGAGCCTTTTAAATGCTACATCAATGAACTTTTGAAATTACAGCAAAGGGATGTTTTTTCAAAATTACCATGCAAATGAATGCATATTAATATATCAGTTTAAGCAAAATGCTTAGCATGTTGAAAGTATTATGTGTTTCAAAACTTTTAGAATGGCTCCAGCTTTTGGGGGGATTTGAAAGTATACATAGAGTATGGCTATGGTGGGGAAGGAAAGATTAAGCCATTTCTGTCGAGAAGTAGCTACTCTTGTGGGAGAGGAAGGAAGGACTTATATTACAAGAAATACACATGATTGAATCTCCTCCTCTGAGCAGGCTACTGGGAAGTGGGGAAATTTAACCCTCTTCTTGTGCTTTTCTCTGCATCTAAATACTTTTCCCACTCAAAGCTTCTGTTACTAACCCTGCAGGAAGACAAAAAGTTACCTGAGGTTCATGCCCTGGGACAACATAAATCAATATGATTTAAAAATTACAGGATTTTTTGGTCACTAACACTAAATTAAATTTATTATCACGCATATTAAACTATACTGTGCACTTTTTAAATTTTTTCAAGGTTTTTTTTTTTAAAGCATGTGGGAGGAGAGACATAGTAGAGCTAAAATATAATCTAAAGTTGGATTTTCTTATCTGTAGATATTCCAGTGATAGATAATATTGGTATAGTCCTACTGTATTTCTGCCAAGGCACCTTCTTCCTGAATATTGGAAAAAAAAATGGGGAGGCACACGCACACGCACACACACCCTTCTGAATATAGCTACTAAATTGATATTGGCATGAGAACATCCAAAGAATCATGGTTCCA